AAAATAAAAATTAATATTGATAAATTGGACAGATCATTATCATATGAACTTTGGACGTCATCATCAAAATTTAAATAAATTCTGATAGTCATAATAAATTCTGATAGTCATAGACGTCATCACAAAATTCAAAACTGATGATCACGATAATGCAAATTAAAAAATTTGAATTTATCCGAATGCATAGAATTTGTCTAACCACATATTTTGCTGAAATGAGTGAAACAATCATCAATGACATCATCAAAATTCATAACAAGACCAGCTAATCCATCTGATTTTCCATGTCCTTCATAATCTATACCATAAACTGCATATCCACCTTTTACAAGTCTTCTTGCTGTGCCTATTTAATTCATAATCACAATTAATTAACCATCATATCATATATAATACTATAATTAAAGAAAAAAAAGATGAAAATTTCAATTACTGTTCATGGTAATGCTGCATTCCATGGCATATCCATGACACATGAAAACCAATGCTTTTGGATTTTCATTTGCAGGAATCCATTTCGTTGCTAATAATTTCATTCCTCGAGAATTCAATACATATTCTTCTTCATATATGATTTCAATTTCTTTCGCCTGCAAAAATTAAATTAGAGAAATATTTAAGAAAATTAATTACCAAAAAATTAAAATCAATCAAGAAAGAAGAGAAAAATACCATGAAGAAGAATAATTGAGGTTTTGAAGGTTTTTAGGTTTTATTTATTGTTTTTAGAATATAGATATATTTGGTTGTAACAATAAAAAAGAGAGTTTGGAATGAAAAAGGTGAGGGAAAGAATCTTTAGATGAGTATGAGAAATAATTGCATGAAAATTAGGGAAAAGAATTAAAAAGTTTTGTGTGCTGGATAAGAATTAGAATGCGATTGGGTTCACAATTTATAGAAGAATAAAAGATAAGAGAAAATCATTTTAGAGAAAACGTGTGGGATTTGATTCGATTTTATTTATTTGATTTTATTTAATCAAATCTCAAAACTTTATTCAACTTGCTTGCTTCGTGGTGTATTTAATTAATTGCTGATTAAATTGTTTAAGTACTTAATTATAACTTAACTGTTATACTGTGGCCAAAATCAGTAGCGTCATAACAGAAAAAGTCAACGGTTTCATTAAAATTACTCATTAATCATATTAAATTTATTAATTTCATATTTATTCAAAAGTTATTTGGTACTATTTCCTCCTCTTTTAAAATAGATGTTCCCTTTCTAATTATTATTTGTCTATTTAAAATAATAATACAATATATTATTTATTTTTATTAATTTACTTTTATTTATTGTATTTTAATTTATATAATTATTTAACTATATATTATTAATAAAATTATTTTAGTAAATAAGATTCATTTTATCATTAAAATTAACATAATTAATCATTATTTTAAAAAATGTAAAAATTTCAAAAAAGACACCTATTATGAGACAAAAATGTAGTATATTTTCTTAACAAAAAATTATCTGATATTTTGCATCATTTTGTTTTAAGTTTAATTAAATATTTAAAACGTAGTAAGTAACACTGAAAAATATTTAGAATATTTAATTTATAACAATCAATTATGTGAGGCAAAAAAAATTCAATCATGTGTTTGCTTTTATGTATATAATGAAGTGAAAATTAAATATGAAAATTGTGATTTAAAATATATTTAAACTGTCTTTATGTATATATTAAATTTATATAAAACCTATAAATAGAAAGTAATTATTATATTTCATTTTTATAAATATATAATATTAAATATTTATAACTATTCAAAAGTATTTAAATGAGATAATAAGAGTAAGAATAACAATTTAATCCATTTTCAGTGAACATCTACAAAATACTCCTAATTGATAGGGTAAAAATAAATAAAAATGAGGACGATATGAATTTAGATAAATATCCACTAAAATAAACATGTATGAATGTAGATATGAATATTTTAGTATCTAATCTGCCCCATGTCCACACACTATAAATATTTATATATTTTAATTTATTTTCTTTTATAATCATGTATCTATAATTTAAAAAAAATATTTTATTGTTAAACCATTAATATTTCATATAGTATTTGTTTATTTAATAATTTAATAAAATAGTTTTTGAAAACTTTTTAATGTTGTTAAAAACTTAATATAATGTAATATTTTATAATATTTTATAATTAGTCTATTTATTTCTTATTTAAAATATGGATAACGGATGAGTATTTATATATGCACATGATGTATGAGTTATATTTAATAAAATTATATCAAATACTACACATTTTTAAATATAAACTCTATTGAAAATTTACATATATTAAAAACACTTTTGAAATTAGTTGTAAAAATATATTTATAATGTCAAAAATATTTCATATTTAAGAAATTTCATTTGATAAACTTCAAGACCAAAAACAATACGTGCAACTTGACTTTCTTTTTTTCCCTTCTCATTATGTTGGAGCGTGTGAGTGAGCTTCTTTTGACCGGACATTGAGAACTTGGTGGACCACATGGGAGTAAATAATTAGTTACAAAAACATGAAAGTTGAGCTTTATTTGCATTTTTTAAAAATAAGTTTATTTGTTATTAATTTATTATAATATAGTCTTTTTTTATAATATTAATTAAAAATTATTAGTTAGTTTAATAATAATTAATGTTAAATTGGATAGAGAGGGATACATTTCGATAAAAATAAATAAATAAGATGAGAAAATTATAATTAAAATATTAAAAAAATCACTTTTTTTATAATACTGACTCAATCGAATTAAATTATATCGATGGTGAAAAATTAAAAAAAAAATTAAAAAATCATTATTTCCATAATACTGACTCACAAATAGGTAGGACATGATTATTATTGTGAGATATGGCTGTTATAAAAAAAATAACTTCTAAAGTTGAACACATGTAATGAATAGATAAGAATGAAGAAAGAAAATTTCTTATCCCATTTCATATGGAAAAGAGATATCTTATGCAATTTTGAAATTGTCTTTTGGAAAACCATAAATGCATTTCTGGTTTGCACTATATTTTATATAAAATAGGCTAAATGTGGTTTCACATTTCAAAATGCAAAAAACGGTACCAAAAGTATACTTTCGGTTCTAAACCAGAATTCTGTTTCCGGTTCTATTAGCGGGAATAATGAATTTCGTTGCCACCTTGACATTTCATATATAACCGGAAGTATAATTTCGGTTTTATGGACTGAACTATATTGTGAGATTATGATACAATTTAATAATATTTTCTGGTTTCTGTAAAGAATAAAATCGAAAATACACTTCCGGTTCCAAATCGGAATTAAGTTTTTAGTTTCTATGTATACTTTATCAGATTTAGGTGCGCACTGGAAATATACTTCCGATTTTGAAAAGCATTTATGGAATTTCACATGGTGCCTAAAAAAGTTATGGGGTGGATTAAGAAATTCACATGAAGAAAAGATAAAAATGGAAATAATACGCCAGATTCAGAGGTTTTGGAAAAACAAATTATGTCAATACCTTCAAAATATCATATTCAAAGCAAAAAATTTAGAGTTGACAATATCAAACTATGTTCATATTCAATTCAATACCATCAACAAGGCCAGTCTTGGGTTAGGGAAAGCAGATCCACAGTTCAGAGCTTCTAAAAAATAGAGCAATTTCTTCTTACATTCTTACTATTTTTTCTAGGCCCTTCGCGAATTTCTCAAAATATCGTATATTTTTAGAGATGCATCTCCAAACGCACCAAAACCATTTTTATCACAAAAAAGTTCGAAAAGGAATCTTCGAATTCTTAAAAGGGTGATTTCAGAAATGTATTTCCGAACTAAACCTGCTTCCAGAACCAATCGAACGTGAATGGAAATATGACAGCAGAATAAAAACAAACTAACACCAAAATCAACGTTTCATTAGATAAAAACATTCATTACATAGATAGTCTCGAAAATAAATTCAGCATTACATAACCATTTCATTGCGATGTTGCAACATAATGATTATATTCTCGACTAATCTTTTAATGTTTACATCTACTTCAATCAGACCCTTTGATCCATAACAGAGAAAAATACTCCACATAACCTTTAGATCTTCATCCATCTTCAGTTTAAGGTTGGTGAAATGAACATTCCATTCGATGTCAAACGAGGGTGACTGATACTCGAGCTTGACAACTCTGTGATTTTCTAAAAAGCGCATCAGAGTATTCAATTTAGATATCATATCCACAAGGGAAGTTTCCCCGGTGACCCTAAACGAATCGATGGTTTCTCGCCATTGAAATACACAAATGCAAGTTGGGGATATGAACTCATTCTCTCTGATTTTAGTGTGTTGGTGCACCAAATTAGGATTGAGGCACGCCCTATTTATATAAGTATTGAGTCACTTTGGACCTCAAAAATCTTATCTTGTGTCAGGTAAAGTTTTAGAAGTGCATAATCGAAAAAATAGTTCGGAGTCACATTTCCGAAATCTTCACTGAATTAGTAAAGAACCAGAAACTTTATAAACAAGCACATGCAATGTAAACCAAAACCATAACATAAAATTAATATGTATTAAATCTTATAAAAATTAATATATACAAAAAAGAGGATTTATTACAATCTAAAATGCTTCAAAAGATCCAATACCGCATAAATCTACAACCAGTTTCTTGTTTGATTCTCTTTCAAGCTCCATCAATTTGGTGAACACTATCATCCTTTCCATAAATTGATTCGGCCAAGTTTCTTTCTCAATTGTTGAATGTGTCGTCCACTCCACCAATGTCGCTGGAATTGGACACCCAGGTTTCAAATAAACCTAAACAAAATGTAGGCCCTTTGAAAGAAACCCAATACACATGATGCGTCTGGATGCGTTTTTAGGTGGACAACTGCGTAACAGAAAAAATGTCTCTGAGAACCCATGTCTTGTCAGATCGATACACACTCTTTCGTATACACTTGCTATAACGTGACCTATTTCCAGGAAGCACATCCATTTTGAAAATGGTGCATTATCGCTACGGCAAGGAACAAGTGCATCTTGAACTGAACCAAAATTTTCTTTTGACCCGTATAACTTCATGTATAATTCCCGATACATTGTTAACTCTTTCAAAAGTGCGGCGTAGACAAGTGGGCGATCCTCCTCTGATTTACAAGCAAGTCAGATACAACCTGATAACCGCAATTACCATCACTCCTGTAATACGGTGGGAGAACTGACTTGGTTATTTTGCGTTTGATCGCATTTGTTGCGGATAGCAAGAGTCACCACCGGTTTTTCTTTTATCCAATAAGAAAAGGGTGAAAAGAACAGGAAAGACCTTTAATATGTTTTATTGAGTTCGGGGGGTAGATTATGAAAAGGGAAGGTGTTAGCACCATTTTCATCCATAGTTATCTATGGGCTCTTAGTTGCTTGCTATATCACTTTTTTTGAAATTGCTTTGTTTGAAATGTGTTGGTGGTTTTTTAAAGTATTTTTTGAAAAGCGCCTTCGTTTAGGCAAACTTTGTAATGATTCTCGTCTCTATAAGAATGCATACAAAGTGTTGTAATTTTTGAAAATATTTTATGTTTTGAAAGTGTTTGGTGTGTTTGAAAAGATGTTTGTTTTTTAAGATGGATTATGAGCAAGCAACTAAGAACGTTATGCCTACTCAAAAGTCTTTTGTTCAT